TGTGTTTGGTTTTTTCTCTCCACATATATTTTGTTTGAATAAAAGCTCCGTTTTACTCTTATAATTTGTTTGAATGTAGCAAACACACAGATATACCTGCTTGGTATCATGTTGTCTTTCTGTTATCATTTCTTTCCGTCATATAGTATTAAGACAGAGTCGTCATGTTCATCGACGACAGATCGATGTAAAATAGTCAGTGTGGAACGTCAGAATCATTTGAACTATATATAAACACGCAGGATTGAACAATTGTGTTCAGTGTATGACAACAAAGACCATAACGTTTGTACTTGTATTGCTCTGTCAGGTCTCCATACATCTGTCGTCGTAGCAAGTTCGTCGCCATTTCAGATAACAGCCGATAGCTGCCAAAGACATTATGTAACCCTAGTAAAATACCTCTGTTACATTGGCGCCCATGTAGGGACCCGGGAATAGTACTTAGCCATGCCCCACCAGCTTCGCTGTAACCCCTGGAAACTCGAGGACGAGTTATTTCCTGGAGGGGGAGTATCTAACCCTGGTAAAGTACTAGCTGCAAGATACCACTCGGCTAGAGAGAACTTCTCATTAGCTCGATCGGTTGAGTGCCAGGCTAGTCCCAAGTTCGATTCCTAACGGAGGCATTGAAATAAATAATGACCTCTGTTACAACGTCATAATAAGGAAGATATGGTCAATTCAATGAGATATCATTCGGTGCCCATCCAAGATTTATTCTCCAACCAAATTAATAATTACAGAAAAAGTGAACCTTTCTGATTAGTTTGATCCCTCATCCCTGCCCCCCCTCTCCCACCAACCTGTTGTGTGTAAAACTGTATTTTATAATAGTGATACACCAACCTGTTGTGTGTAAAGCTGTATTTTATATTTGTGATACACCAACCTGTTGTGTGTAAAAGCTGTGTTTTATAATAGTGATACACCAACTTGTGTGTAAAGCTGTATTTTATAATAGTTGTACACCAACTTGTTGTGTGTAAAGTTGTGTTTTATGATAGTGATACACCAACCTGTTGTGTGTAAAGCTGTATTTTATAATAGTGATACACCAACCTGTAGTGTGTAAAGCCGTTTTATAATAGTGATACACCAACCTGTTGTGTGTAAAATTGTATTTTATAATAGTGATACACCAACCTGTAGTGTGTAAAGCCGTTTTATAATAGTGATACACCAACCTGTTGTGTGTAAAATTGTATTTTATAATAGTGAAACACCAACCTGTTGTGTGTAAAGTGGTATTTTATAATAGTGATACACCAACCTGTTGTGTGTAAAGTGGTATTTTATAATAGTGATACACCAACCTATTGTGTGTAAAGCTGATTTTTATAATGAAAGAAAACCTAGAAGCCTTAGGTGTCTTGAAGAAAGAAAACCTAGAAGCCGTAGGTGTCTTAAAGAAAGAAAACCTAGAAGAAAGATAACCTAGAAGCCTTAGGTGTCTTGAAGAAAGAAAACCTAGAAGCCTCATGTGTCTTGAAGAAAGAAAACCTAGAAGCCTCAGGTGTCTTGAAGAAAGAAAACCTAGAAGCCTCATGTGTCTTGAAGAAAGAAAACCTAGAAGCCTTAGGTGTCTTGAAGAAAGAAAACCTAGAAGCCTTAGGTGTCTTGAAGAAAGAAAACCTAGAAGCCTTAGGTGTCTTGAAGAAAGAAAACCTAGAAGCCTCAGGTGTCTTGAAGAAAGAAAACCTAGAAGCCTCAGGTGTCTTGAAGAAAGAACCTAGAAAACCTAGAAGCCTCCTCATGTGTCTTGAAGAAAGAAAACCTAGAAGCCTCAGGTGTCTTAAAGAAAGAAAACCTAGAAGCCTTAGGTGTCTTGAAGAAAGAAAACCTAGAAGCCTCATGTGTCTTGACGAAAGAAAACCTAGAAGCCTTAGGTGTCTTGAAGAAAGAAAACCTAGAAGCCTTAGGTGTCTTGAAGAAAGAAAACCTAGAAGCCTCATGTGTCTTGAAGAAAGAAAACCTAGAAGCCTCAGGTGTCTTGAAGAAAGAAAACCTAGAAGCCTCATGTGTCTTGAAGAAAGAAAACCTAGAAGCCTCAGGTGTCTTGAAGAAAGAAAACCTAGAAGCCTCAGGTGTCTTAAAGAAAGAAAACCTAGAAGCCTTAGGTGTCTTGAAGAAAGAAAACCTAGAAGAAAGATAACCTAGAAGCCTTAGGTGTCTTGAAGAAAGAAAACCTAGAAGCCTTAGGTGTCTTGAAGAAAGAAAACCTAGAAGCCTCATGTGTCTTGAAGAAAGAAAACCTAGAAGCCTCATGTGTCTTGAAGAAAGATAACCTAGAAGCCTCAGGTGTCTTGAAGAAAGAAAACCTAGAGGCCTTAGGTGTCTTGAAGAAAGAAAACCTAGAAGCCTCATGTGTCTTGAAGAAAGAAAACCTAGAAGCCTCATGTGTCTTGAAGAAAGAAAACCTAGAAGCCTCAGGTGTCTTGAAGAAAGAAAACCTAGAAGCCTCATGTGTCTTGAAGAAAGAAAACCTAGAAGCCTCAGGTGTCTTGAAGAAAGAAAACCTAGAAGCCTTAGGTGTCTTGAAGAAAGAAAACCTAGAAGCCTCATGTGTCTTGAAGAAAGAAAACCTAGAAGCCTCAGGTGTCTTGAAGAAAGAAAACCTAGAAGCCTCAGGTGTCTTGAAAAAATAAAACCTAGAAGCCTCATTTGTCTTGAAGAAAGAAAACCTAGAAGCCTCATGTGTCTTGAAGAAAGAAAACCTAGAAGCCTTAGGTGTCTTGAAGAAAGAAAACCTAGAAGCCTCATGTGTCTTGAAGAAAGAAAACCTAGAAGCCTTAGGTGTCTTGAAGAAAGAAAACCTAGAAGCCTCATGTGTCTTGAAGAAAGAAAACCTAGAAGCCTCAGGTGTCTTGAAGAAAGAAAACCTAGAAGCCTCATGTGTCTTGAAGAAAGAAAACCTAGAAGCCTCATGTGTCTTGAAGAAAGAAAACCTAGAAGCCTTAGGTGTCTTGAAGAAAGAAAAAGAAGCCTAGGTGTCCTTAGAAAAAGAAAACCTAGAAGCCTCATGTGTCTTGAAGAAAGAAAACCTAGAAGCCTTTAGTGTCTTTAAGATATTAAACCTAGAAGCCTCTTGTGTCTTGAAGAAAGAAGCCTAGAAGCCTAGAAGCCTCAGGTGTCTTGAAGAAAGAAAACCTAGAAGCCTCAGGTGTCTTGAAGAAAGAAAACCTAGAAGCCTCATGTGTCTTGAAGAAAGAAAACCTAGAAGCCTAAGAAGAAAACCTGTGTCTTGAAGAAAGAAAACCTAGAAGCCTCAGGTGTCTTGAAGAAAGAAAACCTAGAAGCCTCATGCGTCTGGAAGAAAACCTAGAAGCCTCAGGTGTCTTGAAGAAAGAAAACCTAGAAGCCTCATGTGTCTTGAAGAAAGATAACCTAGAAGCCTCAGGTGTCTTGAAGAAAGAAAACCTAGAAGCCTCAGGTGTCTTGAAGAAAGAAAACCTAGAAGCCTCATGTGTCTTGAAGAAAGAAAACCTAGAAGCCTCAGGTGTCTTGAAGAAAGAAAACCTAGAAGCCTCATGTGTCTTGAAGAAAGAAAACCTAGAAGCCTCAGGTGTCTTGAAGAAAGAAAACCTAGAAGCCTTAGGTGTCTTGAAGAAAGAAAACCTAGAAGCCTCATGTGTCTTGAAGAAAGATAACCTAGAAGCCTTAGGTGTCTTGAAGAAAGAAAACCTAGAAGCCTCATGTGTCTTGAAGAAAGAAAACCTAGAAGCCTTGAAGAAAGAAAACCTGTCTGTCTTGAAGAAAGAAAACCTAAAGCCTTAAAGAAAGAAAAAGCCTACTCATGGTGTCTTGAAGAAAGAAAACCTAGAAGCCTTAGGTGTCTTGAAGAAAGAAAACCTAGAAGCCTCATGTGTCTTGAAGAAAGAAAACCTAGAAGCCTTAGGTGTATTGAAGAAAGAAAACCTAGAAGCCTCATGTGTCTTGAAGAAAGAAAACCTAGAAGCCTCATGTGTCTTGAAGAAAGAAAACCTAGAAGCCTAGGTGTCTTGAAGAAAGAAAACCTAGAAGCCTCATGTGTCTTGAAGAAAGAAAACCTAGAAGCCTCATGTGTCTTGTAGAAAGAAAACCTAGAAGCCTTGTGTCTTGAAGAAAGAAAACCTAGAAGCCTCATGTGTCTTGAAGAAAGATAACCTAGAAGCCTCAGGTGTCTTGAAGAAAGAAAACCTAGAAGCCTCATGTGTCTTGAAGAAAGAAAACCTAGAAGCCTCAGGTGTCTTGAAGAAAGAAAACCTAGAAGCCTTAGGTGTCTTGAAGAAAGAAAACCTAGAAGCCTCAGGTGTCTTGAAGAAAGAAAACCTAGAAGCCTCATGTGTCTTGAAGAAAGAAAACCTAGAAGCCTCAGGTGTGTTAAAGAAAGAAAACCTAGAAGCCTTAGGTGTCTTGAAGAAAGAAAACCTAGAAGCCTCATGTGTCTTGAAGAAAGATAACCTAGAAGCCTCATGTGTCTTGAAGAAAGAAAACCTAGAAGCCTTAGGTGTCTTGAAGAAAGAAAACCTAGAAGCCTCAGGTGTCTTGAAGAAAGAAAACCTAGAAGCCTCATGTGTCTTGAAGAAAGAAAACCTAGAAAACCTAGAAGCCTCATGTGTCTTGAAGAAAGAAAACCTAGAAGCCTCAGGTGTCTTAAAGAAAGAAAACCTAGAAGCCTTAGGTGTCTTGAAGAAAGAAAACCTAGAAGCCTCATGTGTCTTGAAGAAAGAAAACCTAGAAGCCTCATGTGTCTTGAAGAAAGAAAACCTAGAAGCCTTAGGTGTCTTGAAGAAAGAAAACCTAGAAGCCTCATGTGTCTTGAAGAAAGAAAACCTAGAAGCCTCATGTGTCTTGAAGAAAGATAACCTAGAAGCCTCATGTGTCTTGAAGAAAGAAAACCTAGAAGCCTTAGGTGTCTTGAAGAAAGAAAACCTAGAAGCCTTAGGTGTCTTGAAGAAAGAAAACCTATGCACACCATAGCTATTGAAATATGACATGTGTCTTGAAGAAAGATCATTTGTGTAATATATAAAAATAAATTGATTTTGGACAAGATTAAATGAAGGCGACCACAATCTTTATATAAGTACCATGATAATGATCATTCAAGTTACGTTAAAATATAATCTTGAAATTTTCTTGTCCCCTGTTCAGCACTCAACACTTACTTTTGCTAAACTACACCAACAGTTATAAGTTGGTCACTATAATGTGTGTTATCCTTAAAAAGTCAGTGATATTGGAGTATTTATTTTTATATCACAGCCCTTGTGTAAAATTTTACAGATTTGAAGGCTCAATTTTAAGGGTTGTGTCACTACAAGACAATTTTGTCTTGTTTACTTCTGAGGGAGTGTCTATATCTAATCATTACTTACATTCCCCACACCTTATAGACATGCAAACACATCTCTCTTTACATACACATTGGGCACTTTTTTTATTTAATCAGATGATATGGCTGGACCAATGGAAATGATGGCAACAGATAGTTTCACATCCACTTTGATTAAATGAAGTCTCATAGGTCTATCTGAAGTCTATTCAGACAACCTGCAGACAAATGTGACATTCTAAAGTCTTCTACCATTGTGCCATACTGTCTGGATAAATAAACAGGTCCTTCTGCAATCTAATAACTTATTTTTTCCACAACAGATAGCTATCATTATCATAGTCTGCATTGCATCTTGTCCAATAAGTTATTCACTGTCTAGTATACATGGCAAGCACTATCTTTACATGTTATAGTATACAAACTACATATGTTCTAGCAAGCACAACAGGATACATTTAACATCATCACATTTCTTATATACTGTCCACCATATGCAGACTTCTATATCTTGTTATATGTGCATGGACAATAATTATCAAGGAAGCAATAGTATAATTGCTTATTAAAAATCAACATAGAATCAAGAATAAGGACTTAAGACGTAGCAGTGTATGTTTCTAGAGAGAGTTAAAGGAAATTCCTACCAATAAACACAAGATTTACTAGAAATATAAGTACCTCACACAATTCTGTCTCGGTTATCACATCCTCAACAAACATGTGCAACTTCTATGCATAAGAATTTGAGCATTTCATGTTACATATCTGTACAACCAAAAAATGAATGACAATTACATTTTTTGGATTTTTTAATGTGAATATTGGTTGTGGAGGTAACCTGAACAAAACTTACATTCTGTTAATTTATAAGTGAGCAAATTCACACTCAAACCACAGTATTTTGTCCTTATCAAAAAATTCTCCAAGAGCAAGCAAAATACTGAAAGTTATAGAACCCAAAATAATATTACCCAACATTTTGAATGAAGCTAGTGAAACAAAATATACTCTATTTATCCTGTAATAAGCCCACGGATCACCAAATCTCACTCAAAGCCCAAGGTAGGCTTATTGCATGACAATGAAATAACAATTGTTTGTAATTACAATGAACAACAATAATTATGGATGGGCTTTTAACCAGACATGGACTTATAAGTATAGGAAGATGTGTATATTTACTTTCTTCTAAATAAAAGAAAGTGGTAGATATGTACGAGTGACAGAATCACATCTGAAGATTTTAGGTGTGTTTTTTACTTCTATATAAAACAAAGGCTGATACTAAAAAATCAATAATGTACAGATAGTGCACGGAACAGAAGATAATTTGATGTAAAAGGGGAAGATACAGGAGGTGATGTATAGTCCATCATATAGATGAAATTGTAATAATGTATAAGGAGCATTAAAATTGTGGCTACAGATGAAATAATTGATGATTATCAGTTTTCATTAAGCCATATTGATATTGCATTTAAAAGACTCCTGACTGTCACAAACCCCTAGATTAGCTTCATTGTTTATAAAATATTAAAAGATCATCTTAATATACTACACTATGTAAAAGAACTCAAGGATCTGATATTTTTCTTGTTTTCCTATGGAACCCATAACATTTATGGTTTTACCTCATGTTACAGAGATTTGCTAACCAGTTTAACCTGGTATATAGGAAAACACTTAGTACACTGATCAATGTTACTTGTATACAAAATAAATTTCATCTTACAAAAGTGGTATTTGAAAATATATACAAAGCCTTATGTACAGATATCAATGTATACTGTATAGAAGCTATTTTTAAAACTTCTATCACACTGCTTCACAAATCGGATCAAAAACAGAGGTCTGAAATCAGCTATCTGGTGATTTCTTCTGTGTTACCATATAAGGCATAAATATGAAAACATACTGAGGCAAATAAATTCTATATGACAACTAAATTTTATCTAATTGTAAAGTGTTGTATGGTGTTGGTAAGAATTCATATCTTGTTTGGAGAGTACTGATGTGTAAATGTACAAAGTTTTGATTCATTGTCGATCTTGTTTTAGGCATCTGTCTGTACACTCATACACAAAAATACAAATCAATCAATGAAAGAATGCCCAATCTAGTAATATATCACAAGGTTTAATAGGAAAATTATAGTAAAGAAACCGAGGTTTAATGTAAAAATCTGGTCCCTGATTGGCCACATACTCTCTCTGTCAGTAAAAATTTCTCCAAATCACTCATTTTATATACATCCATCAACATACTCACACCAGTCCATCACAATAAAATACTTTTCATTGAATATAATCTTCAAGTACAACCAAAACAAACGCCTAACATTAACACATTAAACATAACGTATCTCAGTATTTCATATCTAGAGGACTTATTTATTTACAAGGCCAATGGCATGAGTATTGTTTGAATATTGCAAGACATCTGAATTCCATCTCTTCCACTTAATATGATCTATGTCAACTATAAAACTATTTAACAATTCATTTGTAATAGTCATTTAGTTCACTTTTCCAACAAACACTGCCATGAAATTTAACAAAGGGAGACAACTTGTATGTGCACAGTATTCTGAAATTCACTTTTTGTATATATGTACTGTAGTTCCAAAGATGTCCCAAGTTATTGTGATTGATGGAGTATTTGTACACAAAAAGTCCGTTTATTGAGTGGTGAAATTCTGACAGTTGATTTAAAAATTTTGGTCTTAACTAAGATTTTGCTAAGGTTCTATCCACAGAGTTTAAACCTTAGATTTAATTTCATTTATACATGTACTTGAATTTAACAAGGCCTGATTCTTAAACCACAGTATAAAATTTGACAGAAATACTTCAAGAAAATCAACTGTTTTCAGCAAAAATATGACATTGGCGACCTGATGCCATAAAAAAAAAACACACAAAAAAAAATTACCACATAGAATTTAGAATTTTTTTTGACAGTAAGACACCTTACTCATGATCACTTGTTGACATATCATGTCATAATCATGACTCCAAAAGCACTGTTGACCTCATTTCACATTGTGACTTTAACAACAGTAAGCCACCATGCTATAATAATGGACCTGCAGATTAATCAATAATGCTTTAGCTATGGACATGTGAAGTCTAACTTCTAGTGCTTAGCAACATGGACAGAAGATAAGCAGCATGTCATGATTTAGAAAAAGACAAAAGAAAGACTCTTAACATTATTGTAATTACTGTATCACGTGCCAATAAGTATATTTACTGTGACACACAAACTTGTTTGTTACAGTCTTATAATATAGCTCATCAACATTCCTTAAGAAATAAGTTATTAGAGTGACTTCACCAAATCAGTTGATCATTTTCTATAAATAGTAATGATAACATTGCCAATGAAACTGAACAGATTTTCATGCAACTATCTTTTACACTTGACCTTATAAAAAAGTGATATGAAGTTGATTGACTTGGAAAAGGACATTACAACAAATAAGGACACAATGGCATAACAACACAAGACAATTGGACAAGGCAGAACAGATAGGACACCACAAGACAATAGGACAGGACTGACAACAAGACATATCAAGACAACAGGATAGGCCACAAAGACAGAAAACCACAAGACAAATGGACAGGACAGAACAGATAGGACACATCAAGACAATAGGACAGGACAGGACACATCAAGACAACAGGACAACACAGGACAAAACAGAGAGGACATCCCAAGACAACATGACATGACAGGACAGGACAGGACACACAACAGGATACATTATGACAATAGGTAGGACACAATGATATGACAGGACATACAGACATGGGAACACATTACTTTTCAAATCCACTTTAACATGGCAGAGGCATATACAAACAGTGGATAGTGTTTTATGATAGGAAATAAAAAGGCCTATAAGTGACACAGAAAATGGACAAAGAGGAAATGTTTTAAGTTACTATTGGACACAAGAAAATTAGGGGAACAGTTATAGATGTTAGGGCAATAGATATGAGAAGACCAGCTTCCTCAGTGTCACATTATGCTTACACGTACCGTAACAATAAATCTCACAGGCAACACACGGAAAACAGTTCACTACATGACATCATAATCTTACTAACCTGACTTCCAAATAATTCAGAGTTGGGTAATTGAAATGTGGAGATAACATTGACAAAACTTCATATCAAAGGACAGACAATCAATTACAAATTCCAAATAAAGTGACTTCTGTTTACATTCCAGCTACAATAAATAATTAAACTGAAATGATCTGTCAGAAAACAAGGTGGTAAATAGCATTTTATAATGCATCATGAAAAAATTCTGCTTTCAATATTTTTGTACCATTGCAAAATGTTTGAGCAAGTACAACTCAGTATGGGAAATATCAGTGTATATATTGAGGTAACAGGTATATTAAATACAACCATTGAACATATTTATTGTTCTTTGCGAATGAAATCCAACATGATTAACACAGCAAATACCTCATACAAAATCCCTGGTTGTTCGTATATACCATGATCTGGCAATAGTTACCTTAGAAATAGTCCTGGAACAAACAAACAATATCAAGATATTTTCCCTCTCAGGGTGAAGTAATCATGTCCTTTAGGGGCCACTCCAGCACTTGGCCAGGCAAACAAGATGTATTAAATATAGTGTTTCCATACTAACTATATATGCGATATGTATCCCATAGACTATTAATCTCATCCAACAGATCTGTCAAATATTCTTCTGACATCTTCATTATTCTAAAATCAATCTCATCTTCCAAACAGCATTCTTCACAATATTTCATTTTTTCTCTATTCAAAATTCACTATTTCTCAACCATAATTGTATCACAAAGCTAGTTACACTAGACAAATATATTGTTGATGGGGCCCCATTATCACCATTTTCTATCCCCAGTGATCGTGGTTCCTTATGGGCCCCATCATCACTACTTCCTATCCCCTTGTGAACATGGTTCCTGTTGGGTCCCATCATCACTAATCCCTATCCCCTAATGACCACAGTGATCACGTGTTGTCCTTGGTCTCTTTGTTCCCAGCCAGTATTTGTGTGAATCTTTTCTTGTCTATGTTCATCCTCACAGATTCTATACTTCTGAATAGTGCATCGGCACATAATGTCTCTGGCAGCTTGGTGAGGAACTGGACACAGTGGATGAAATCGTGTTGTATCAGAACATTCTCGTGCATCTTCAGAATTCCTGAAAAATGTTACATGTTGAATAGGATATCCATAATATACAGTTTTTTAGATAAAAATATGTATTACACAAAGTTTTATATATAGATATCTATTATATACAAAGTTTTATACATAAATATATGTATTACACAAAGATATATATATATATATATATATACTTAATATATCTATATATACAAAGGCTGATATATAAAATTCATATAAAATCTACATGGTATACTTAACACATTAAATTTAGTTTATAATCCAATGAATTGCCATGGTTACCTAATGCAGTACGGAAGAGGAACTCTTCACCATCCCGACAAAACATGTCCCAAACTCTACAGGCCACATCAAGGGGCAAGGACTTACTGAACAAGGTGAATATCCTAAAACACAACACAAAACAAGCTATCAATTCTCAGCACAAAAGTCACTTCCAAAACAGATATATAAAACAAGCTATTAATTTTTTAGAACAAAAGCCAACGACAAATACAAACATATATTCTAGAAAAATATGACATTGGCACCAACAAACATATAATAGCATTCAGCTCTGATTACCAGGTACTTACCAGTCTGTAGTGTACAAGTCTGGTGTTATACTGCAATACCGACTACTTACCAGTCTATAATGTATAAGTCTGGAGTCACGCTGTTTTTCATAAAATGTCGATGCAATGAAGGCATGTTTTCGTGGAAAAGATCATCGTAAGTTTGAAAGTAAGACTTCATCTAAAAAAAAAATATAATTCAGTTAATATCAATAAGAAAAATACAATCTTCTTTACATGCTCTTTATAACAATGAAATATGTTATATTATATGTATCTCTACATACATATAATGTTAACTTATAAACATATCAACTAAATGTCATTCTATAGAAGAGTTCTTGGATCTTAATCAATTGGTATTGTTTTGAAGCAGCTGTAGCAGTACCAGCATATGTAACAGATATGTGTCATTAATCAATCACAGTTAAGGAGATATGGCAGACAGATATATTGTCGAACAAGGATACCTACCATTTCCTCGTCTATCCTAAAGAAGGCCACTTGACATGGTCGGTTAAGAAGATTGGCAAAAACAAGAAAGGCATCAGCTACATCCATGTTGAGTAGAAGAACTGCTGCGATGAAAGACATACCTTGTACCTGTAACAAACATTATGAAAGTTATTTCCCTTTAACCAAACGTCGTCTATCTGTCGAAGAAAATTTTATTCAAACTGACAATCTGTTAACAGTTCATTGCTAAATTTAGGGTGAAATGATTACAATTCTGTCATCCAGATTGCATTCATATCAACTGTATACTGCCATCTGGTAACAGATCAATGATTATATTTACATTCATAAGTAATTTTCATAATCCGAAATAAAAACTTCTCACTTAACAGAAAACTGATATCAGAAAATTCATTTCACAAAGTACAATCACAAAATTAAATTTATTATCTTTTAATATTGAAGTATAAATTTATCACAAATTCTGAATAATTACAGTCTTTCACTTTATTCTTTTATTTAGAATAAAAGCCATCAATCAGATGCCACCATGCAACAAGTGTGTCAGATTTGCTTGATATTATTTTTTTGTCATGTTGTAGATTAGTGTAATTTTCAGTGGAAGTCACTCCTGTCAATAAGTGATAACAACCATAAGCATCTTTCATTTGTAACAGGTTCTATGTCAATGTTGACACATTTCAATCTTATGTTGTGGTGATTATAAGGATACTTTGGAAAATTATGTATTTGACAATGAATTTTTTCTGTCATAATTTTAAAAAAGTTACTTTTTTGTTGATAAAGGCCTCTAACTAAAGACTAACCACTTCAGATATGCCCATGTATTGATATAAGTGAAAAGCAGCCATTTTTGTTCTGAATTGTTTATATCTGCAGTGATAGAAATGAGCTAGGGTCATGTAGACTGCAACACTTACGTAACCCACGTCAGGCCGGTAGCAGGCATAAGCACCAAGTAGGCTGTGTAACAGGTCGTGATATGGTCCACCCTGCCACAGATGATGATCAACATTAGTGGACTTAAAAAAAAGTAGTATTTCAAGGAAACACAGCAAAACTATGTAAGGTTTGTCTTAATTGTTTGTTGGCTTTGATTTATCATAAACAGCCAGACACAAACTGAGGTAGTACCTTGAAGTAAATAAGAATCATGTTATCTGTAATTCAAGGGACCCTGGAAAACATTTTGACTTATCCAAATTTCATCTAAAACAAAGTGTCCAAATAAGGTTAACAATATCAGTTTTCTGACATTGATTACGGTTAAACAAAGTAGGCCTATGATAGCACAGTACACCATGGTACAACCAGCGTAATTTAATCCATTACTTAAAATTGCAGTAAACATACAAACAAATAAATTTCTACCTTCAACATTTATTATTTATGAAAAATGTGACACTGGAAAGTTTTTACTAGACTAAACAAATCACACACTGATATTGACTCTATGAATGAAACATACTTTAAGCCCTTCATTGTTCAAACACTTAATCTAATAAAGTTCCCGATTACAATCCTTTAGTAAACAAGCTTAAAATTCGTTTCTCTCGGAATTGCGGGGATCAGATTGCATTTTGTTTTGTTTTTATCTTTTCTGAAGATGCATGCAACCAAGCTGTTTTCATATTTTGTGTAAATGCACTACTTTTTTAACATACAGGTAAGTCACTGCTACAGGATGGTGACACTAATTAAGTTGCCAACTTTAACTGGATAATTAAACTTGCAATTAATTGATCAATTTGAGACAACAAATGACGTTTTCCTTGCTTTAAAATTGAAGGGAGTGGAAACACACTTCGACTCAAATGAAATTTTGACTCAATGAAATTCGAGTCAGCCAAACTAAAATTACAAAGATAAAGAAGGAAAAAATCATTATTTCACCTCAAATTGAATTTTGACTTGAGCGATTTCGAGACAAGTTTCAACTGTAGTTGGTGGCTACCTCACAGAAAATTGTGCTGAAAGCCTGTTGAATGCTATCCAGAACAATCGGGGTAGCATGTCAAAGTCTTGTCCCAAGTACAAAATCAGGCCACTCCATAATCACAACTTTCTGAGAAACGCCAAACTGCCCAAGTTACAGATAGAAATAATAGTTTACTTAGATCCATTTTGTTACCTTTTGAAATATACAGAGCTGAGGGAATGTTCGTGATACATCAAGTTTGATAAGTTCAACACTAGATTCTTTACTGGACGGAGGCTCAGATGAGGCTGAAACAAGCAATAGAAACATTGTAAGCATTGATATCAAAGTTTTGTGTTTGTTTCTATTCAATATGAACTAGAATGGTCAGCTAGAAGGTGAATTAATACCACATAAAAAATATCAAAAATGCCTTGCTGACTCTTGATCTATTACAGATCACCTTCGGCAAATGAAGAAATCTCTCTTTTATCCAAATTTGTACTAAACAGCAAGAGCATCAGGAACTATATGTGTGATACATTTTTAGACATCTGAAGCTTTGTTTTGTCATCAAGCCACATTAGTCACCATGACATTTAAACTGTACTTGTCACCATGGACTGTGGTGGCCATGAAATGGGTTGGCCATTTACACTCAAGAACTTACTCTCAGAGGTACCATATACTTCTCCTGGATCACAAGCTGTCAATGTCAGCCGGATTCTATCTTCTGCTCGACTTTCACAAATCTCATACAATTCTGTAAAACAAGGCAAGAGCAATGATGAATTGTTTAACTAATTGTTACAACGTAAGAAAGATTTGACTGTATTGAGACACTGTGGATCGTCAGTCTAGAAGATTGTCATACCGTACACTGGATACCATATTTATCCCACAGTAAGTGTACGACATCAACATATAACCTCTACCTCAATTTTAGGGATTGATTTTATTATAGAAAACAAAAATAAGACTAGTTTATAATTTTACAAAAAAAGGAAATATGACAGGACAGATTTACCAGGCATAGACTTGTTGCTGGACAAACATGATAACAAGCTGACAGCTATGTGAAGTATAATATTAGTTGTCTTGATCAGGACTTTTTCATATCCAAAAATTATTTCTGTTTCTTTCTTTTTTTTCAATCTTTCATTTGTCTACATTTCATTATGTACATTCAGTGCATACCTTGTGTAAGATTGAGGTCATTGCCTATGGCCAGTTTCCACACCTTCCCTCGTACCATTGGAGGAATCCCTAGCCACCAAAGGTCTCTCGTTTTCTTAGATGTTTTCCTGTGAAACCAAACAAAGCCTATTTTAATACATTTTTCTATTTTGTTTATGACACAATATCTTAATCAGAGAATATAACTGATGTGACCCTTTCCTTTGGTATAAATCAATATTCAATAATTTTGTGTTACAGCAGTAGTTAAAACCAATACCGAATATCTGTCTGAAACACATAAAAAGTCCTTTCTTATTGATCACGAAATTTTGATTGAAATTTTAACAAATATTCTAAATAAAAAAGTCATTTATTCCAAACTTGTCAGCTTCAAATCAAGGTATTTTATCATATATCCTTGTGGGTATTCACAATTTTTTCCTGGCGCGTGTGTGTATGTATGTGGGGCTAAAAATATCAAGAAATCAAGTTCTTTTTTTTTTTTTTTTTTTTTAAATTATACATATATGTCTAAAAGGCTGGTGTCTGTTGTGCCTAGGAAGTATGAAAGACAGTGACATTGAAATAAAAAGTCAGAGAAAGGAAAAATATGTAGAGTATTTTTGATGATGTTAGTCTACAAAGAATATCTATTGTAGGGAAACAGTGATTCAACTAATTATAACATTAATTTACAATAATTATATGGTATACTATTCATAAAAATGACTACACATGTACTAGATGTGATCATTTCACACTAAATCAACAATGAAACACTGAGATAAGGACAAGTAGTGTAATTACGCTGTCTCCCAGTTCGGCAGAATTTCGTTGGTCCATTTTTTCGCTGCTGCTAATAGCTGATCCTCCTGTTTAATTTGCTGCATTTGTTGTTTTCTCTTCATCTTTAAATCTCTTTGTTCTGTAATGATAAAACAACACCATATCAAACAAATGTAACCTATTTTTATAAATATAACTCTATTTATCTTTCATATCAATTTATACTGAAAAACAGAAAACCAATGATTTGTTGCTGGTGATAAACATACTTTTTTTCAGAATATATTTGTTTTGAAGATCCACACATATAATCACCCAAGAATCTAAAAACTCTGCTGATGATTGATAGGTATAGCAATTTATTAACTCCAAATTAGAAATAAATAGGAAAGGTCTTTACATGGTGAATGCTGTCAGGGCTGGAAAATCAACAGTACCAACACATAATCAATATCAAATGTTAGTTTACTGTAGCAATAACATCAGACTATTGACTAACAAGATCACTTCAATTTGTGTTCCTAACAAGTCCCTTGGCTAAGCATCTGATCACTGTCATCACACATGAAACATAATGGCAGTGTCTTGTTGATGATACAGCCAACATGTCTAGTATCAAAGTGTAGTGTAGGCCTAGTGAGCTTACAGTGGTGACTGTATAACACTGGCATCAAAGTTTAGTGTAGGGCTGGTGAGCTTACAGTGATGCCTGTATAATACTGGCATCAAAGTTTAGTATAGGCCTAGTGAGCTTACAGTGATGCCTGTATAATAATGGCATCAAAGTTAAGTGTAGGCCTAGTGAGCTTACAGTGATGCCTGTATAATACTGGCATCAAAGTTTAGTGTAGGCCTTGTGAGCTTACAGTGATGCCTGTATAATACTGGCATCAAAGTTTAGTGTAGGGCTGGTGAGCTTACAGTGATGCCTGTATAATACTGGCATCAAAGTTTAGTGTAAGCCTAGTGAGCTTACAGTGATGCCTGTATAATACTGGCATCAAAGTGTAGTGTAGGATTAGTGAGCTTACAGTGATGCCTGTATAATACTAGCATCAAAGTTTAGTGTAGGATTAGTGAGCTTACAGTGATGCCTGTATAACACTGGCATCAAAGTTTAGTGTAGGGCTGGTGAGCTTACAGTGATGGCTGTATAATACTGACATCAAAGTTTAGTGTAGGGCTGGTGACCTTACAATTTTGGTGTATACTGGATTATTTCATGTTAGTTTACAACTATACACGTCTCGATGAATAGGAGCTTGCATGCAACTGTTCTCTGGTTATCAAACCAGCCAACGGGAAGAGCTGTGTAATAGAGAGGGTCTAGTGGGTCGTCGCTTCACAGTATTGATTGAATTGATATTGTCATAGATATGTCATGCAAGCAAGACAATTTTTGCAATAAACATTCCAGACCTCCATAGCTAAGGTGAAGAAGCAAAACACTGACTACTGACTTGTAACAGTAACATTTCCTAGAGATGGAGCACAAGAACTTCGGCACTGAGAATTATACCTTGAAACATCCTGGGAAACTTTATGTGCTACAACTTGAATAAAACACATTGATGTTTTACTAATGAGGAGGGAAGAGCATCGAAAACAATTCCAACCTCCACATCATTCAAAGCTTTGACATGGAAGAGTAACAACATATTATAATAGAGTGAGGCTTGTGACTTCCTTTTTGATAATTACTCCACCATCTTACAGATCAAAGTACCCACATACAACAATGTTACAATGTTAACATAGTATAGAAACTATGTCATATACAAAGTGATGTACCCGGGTATGTTGAACATAGGGCCTGAACTCTGTATACAGTAATTTTGAAAGTTTAAATATTCTTCCATCTAAAGATGTACTCATTCACAAGATTTAGAATTTAAATGTGAAAAAAAGTCATCACTAAATTGTCCTACACACAGTAAGAGTCATCACTAAATTGTCCTACACAAATACGAGTTATCACTACATTGTCCTACACAAACTACGAGTTATCACTAAATTGTCCTACAAAAACTATGAGCCATCACTGAATTGTCCTAACTCATAGTTTGTATAGGACAATTTAGCGATGACTCATAGTTTGTATAGGACAATTTAGTGATGACTAGTGGTTTGTGTAGGACAATTTAGCGATGACTCATAGTTTGTATAGGACAATTTAGTGATAACTTGTAGTTTGTATAGGACAATTTAGCGATGACTCATAGTTTGTATAGGACAATTTAGTGATAACTTGTAGTTTGTATAGGACAATTTAGCGATGACTCATAGTTTGTGTAGGACAATTTAGTGATAACTCGTAGTTTGTATAGGACAATTTAGTGATAATTTGTAGTTTGTGTAGGACAATTTAGTGATGACTCATAGATTGTGTAGGACAATTTAGTGATGACTCGTAGTTTGTGTAGGACAATTTAGTGATAACTTGTAGTTTGTGTAGGACAATTTAGTGATAACTTGTAGTTTGTGTAGGACAATTTAGTGATAACTCGTAGTTTGTATAGGACAATTTAGTGATAACTTGTAGTTTGTGTAGGACAATTTAGTGATAACTCATAGTTTGTATAGGACAATTTAGTGATGACTCATAGTTTGTATAGGACAATTTAGTGATAACTTGTAGTTTGTGTAGGACAATTTAGTGATAACTTGTAGTTTGTGTAGGACAATTTAGTGATAACTTGTAGTTTGTGTAGGACAATTTAGTGATAACTCGTAGTTTGTATAGGACAATTTAGTGATGACTCATAGTTTGTATAGGACAATTTAGTGATAACTTGTAGTTTGTGTAGGACAATTTAGTGATGACTCATAGTTTGTATAGGACAATTTAGTGATAACTTGTAGTTTGTATAGGACAATTTAGTGATAACTTGTAGTTTGTATAGGACAATTTAGTGATGACTCGTAGTTTGTATAGGACAATTTAGTGATAACTTGTAGTTTGTGTAGGACAATTTAGTGATAACTTGTAGTTTGTGTAGGACAATTTAATGATGACTCATAGATTGTGTAGGACAATTTAGTGATGACTCGTAGTTTGTGTAGGACAACTTAGTGATGACTCATAGATTGTGTAGGACAATTTAGTGATGACTCGTAGTTTGTATAGGACAATTTAGTGATGACTCGTAGTTTGTGTAGGACAATTTAGTGATGACTTGTAGTTTGTGTAGGACAATTTAGTGATGACTCGTAGTTTGTGTAGGACAATTTAGTGATGACTCGTAGTTTGTGTAGGACAACTTAGTGATGACTCATAGTTTGTGTAGGACAATTTAGTGATGACTCGTAGTTTGTATAGGACAATTTAGTGATAACTTGTAGTTTGTATAGGACAATTTAGCGATGACTCATAGTTTGTATAGGACAATTTAGTGATAACTTGTAGTTTGTATAGGACAATTTAGCGATGACTCATAGTTTGTATAGGACAATTTAGTGATAACTTGTAGTTTGTGTAGGACAATTTAGTGATAACTCGTAGTTTGTATAGGACAATTTAGTGATAACTTGTAGTTTGTGTAGGACAATTTAGTGATAACTTGTAGTTTGTGTAGGACAATTTAGTGATAACTCGTAGTTTGTATAGGACAATTTAGTGATAACTTGTAGTTTGTGTAGGACAATTTAGTGATAACTCATAGTTTGTATAGGACAATTTAGTGATGACTCATAGTTTGTATAGGACAATTTAGTGATAACTTGTAGTTTGTGTAGGACAATTTAGTGATAACTTGTAGTTTGTGTAGGACAATTTAGTGATAACTTGTAGTTTGTGTAGGACAATTTAGTGATAACTCGTAGTTTGTATAGGACAATTTAGTGATGACTCATAGTTTGTATAGGACAATTTAGTGATAACTTGTAGTTTGTGTAGGACAACTTAGTGATAACTCATAGTTTGTATAGGACAATTTAGTGATAACTCGTAGTTTGTATAGGACAATTTAGTGATAACTTGTAGTTTGTATAGGACAATTTAGTGATGACTCGTAGTTTGTATAGGACAATTTAGTGATAACTTGTAGTTTGTGTAGGACAATTTAGTGATAACTTGTAGTTTGTGTAGGACAATTTAATGATGACTCATAGATTGTGTAGGACAATTTAGTGATGACTCGTAGTTTGTGTAGGACAACTTAGTGATGACTCATAGATTGTGTAGGACAATTTAGTGATGACTCGTAGTTTGTATAGGACAATTTAGTGATGACTCGTAGTTTGTGTAGGACAATTTAGTGATGACTTGTAGTTTGTGTAGGACAATTTAGTGATGACTCGTAGTTTGTGTAGGACAATTTAGTGATGACTCGTAGTTTGTGTAGGACAACTTAGTGATGACTCATAGTTTGTGTAGGACAATTTAGTGATGACTCGTAGTTTGTATAGGACAATTTAGTGATAACTCGTAGTTTGTGTTGGACAATTTAGTGATAACTTGTAGTTTGTGTAGGACAATTTAGTGATAACTTGTAGTTTGTGTTGGACAATTTAGTGATAACTTGTAGTTTGTATAGGACAATTTAGTGATAACTTGTAGTTTGTGTTGGACAATTTAGTGATAACTTGTAGTTTGTGTAGGACAATTTAGTGATAACTTGTAGTTTGTGTAGGACAATTTAATGATGACTCATAGATTGTGTAGGACAATTTAGTGATGACTCGTAGTTTGTGTAGGACAACTTAGTGATGACTCATAGATTGTGTAGGACAATTTAGTGATGACTCGTAGTTTGTGTAGGACAATTTAGTGATGACTTGTAGTTTGTGTAGGACAATTTAGTGATGACTCGTAGTTTGTGTAGGACAATTTAGTGATGACTCGTAGTTTGTGTAGGACAACTTAGTGATGACTCATAGTTTGTGTAGGACAATTTAGTGATGACTCGTAGTTTGTATAGGACAATTTAGTGATAACTCGTAGTTTGTGTTGGACAATTTAGTGATAACTTGTAGTTTGTGTAGGACAATTTAGTGATAACTTGTAGTTTGTGTTGGACAATTTAGTGATAACTTGTAGTTTGTATAGGACAATTTAGTGATAACTCGTAGTTTGTGTTGGACAATTTAGTGATAACTTGTAGTTTGTGTAGGACAATTTAGTGATAACTTGTAGTTTGT